CCAACAGAGTTATAAGCATTTTTCTGTCGATAGTTGCACTTGGGTTATGTTTTGTTTTTCTGGTTATTTTAAAGTTGAACCATACTTATATAAGTATTGTTTATTTTTTATAATTATTTTATTTTTTATAATAAAATGCTTATAACTCTGTTGGTACTTTTACGCAATTATCCAATTTCGATTGACAGAGAGATATGCAGTAGTAAGTATTACCTAGGCCCTCTAGTGAAAAAAATAAAAAATAATAAAAAAACCTGTATAGGTACAAACGTACATACCTGTATATTTGAAAAATAACTGGCTACTTATTAAAAGTTAGTAATAATTAAAAAAAAAGAAAAAAAAATCCCTTCGTTTTTCATTGTGTTATATAAAATACAATCAATTCATAATTAATTGTAATCAAGAGTCACCAGGTCAAAAGTTACTTTAAACAAGTTTTAACCTGATTCTAACTGGAATGTGTCGTCACGTTCCATATCTGCATTAATTCAATGCGTCAGTTTAAAGCATGGCCCGAGAAACATCACTTGCTATAGTAGTCCAATTCTGTATTAATATATGTACTTATCTATACATATAATAAAATTGAAACTAAGCCGAATCTGTACATTAAATATTTCTTTGAAAATCTTATTGGAATAGACATTATTATCGATACAGAGGCCGAATCTATAGAGTTTTTAGAATTTTTGTCTGTCTGTCTGTTACCGCATCACAGAAAAACTACTGGAGGGATTTTGATGAAATTTGGTATGGTGATAGCTGGTAATCCGGGTCAACATATAGGATACTTTTTACTGCGGGAAAATATCTCATTTCTAAGAAAAAATACAAAAACTGCATTGTAAGAGTATACTAATATGTAAAACCTAAGAATTTGCTTTTTGGTCATATGAACGCGGGCGGAGCCGCGGGCAATGCTAGTAAATGATAATATTCTTAAACTTGTTCCATTTTATTATTTTTACAATATTTCCGAGTGTTTATTGATGTCGTTAGAGATTAAGTGAAGTTCTTTCAAGTCTTTTATACGGTCTCTCGAAACTCATTCATCTTTTAAGTAGTCTGAGTGAGTGTCAGTATAAAATTCAGGGTGATTTAGATAAACTGAAGTGATTGAGCTTTTGTACCAATATAGTATATAGTTTTGTATTTTTTAATTATAGTTGTCGAGATACAGAAAATTCTGCATACGCCATTGTCAAAAGCACATTATCGTACATGGACCACTTTAATTTTTAAAACAGACCACACTCTCAGCATAGTAACGTTGCTAAGTTTGTTAACTTTCTGTAAGTTAATCATTTTGCTCTGTATAGAAGAGCTGACTATGACTATATCAATAACATAATACTATGAGTGCTACATCACTATTGTCACTTTTTGGAGCTTTTTGGCCGCCTTAAAAAAGAAAGAGGTAATCAATTCGTGAGTATGATGTGTCTGTCCCGTATATTTTTCATTTAAAGTTGTGTCAATGGGATCCAAACTAACAAATTAAATATATTCAGTGAGATTTTGAATTCTTCGTGTTTGTTATATAAACATAAACATATAGATTAAAACATGCCTATTATTCTATTTTTATTGCATTTTAAAACAAAATACACTAATTATTATAAAACTTAGTAAAAGTAGAATTATCCCTACAGGAGATCTCTTACAGCAAACCCATAAATGTTGAAGAAAATTTTAGCGGGGCAATATAGTACCTAGTGTACGTGAAAGCGAAAGTTAAATAACAACAAATTTAACTGAATTTTTCTTCATTAGAATTAATATCCTTATTTAAGCCCGATAAAAGACCTTATAAAAGTCGGAGTACTTTATAAAAATTGGCTTTGACTTTACACCTTTTGATTTATGTAAAAGACTTAGTACTAGCGGGTTAATCTTTACGTAATATGCAAGTCCGGCGGCAGAGAAAATCCAATCAATAGTGTTTGCGAACTACAAAAATAAACAACAATTTGTTCGTGGTAATAAACGAGACGAAATGTATGCTTTAAAAAACAACTACCTGTACTTTTTCAATGTTATTATGTCATTAACTGTACTGAGTGGTATTTTAGTCTACAAAAACTATTTTCTCTTGATTTCGTGATAGGTATATCTATAAATGATTTCCATTTCGATTTTACTCCAATGCGTCTAGACGTTGAATAATAAAGAAATACATAAACTTTCGTATATGTAATATTGGTATTTAGTATGATATTGGTGTTTCCGTTTTCATACTTTTGCTGTACCCAAAAGGTGTATAATGTAGTTGTATCACTAAAATAATTTATATAATATATCGTAGTTGGTAGTTAGTTCTCAATAGGTATGCAAAATATGTTTTAATTAAGAGCAGGTAATATACCAATAGCTCGAACTATATTATTTAACTAGCGATTCATCCTCGCTTCGCTTCGAATTCGTACATAGACAAAAACAGATCTATCCCACGGAAACCGTACATTTTTTTTTATGGAAAAAAGGGGCAAACGAGCAAACGATCCACCTGATGGTAAGTGGCTATCGTCGCTCATGGACATCTGCAACACAAGAGGAGTTGCGAATGCGTTGCCGGCCTTTAAGGGACCTATAGACATTTCTCTTGAAGAGCCCCATATTATAGCGCTTTTTTCTTTCTTTTCCGGGTCCATTCCTCAATAAACCAACTATGTAATGCAAAAAGAATTGTTCAAATCGGATTAGTAGTTCCTGAGATTAGCGCGTGCAACCAAACAAACAAACTCTGCCTCTTTATAATATTAGTATATATAAAAATCGAAGTGTGTATTTGTGTGTATTTTTAGTGGGTATATGCCAATGTTAGGCAACTAGGAACGCACCTGAGCGAAGCGAGTGTCATCTGCTAGTTATAATATAAGAATGAACTAAAAATCCAAGGAATAAAACAAAACGTTAAAATAAAACGTTAGATATAAGAATTAGTCAATTTTCGTTTTTTACAATAATAGTCCAACAAACCATTAGTATTTATCAATTTGGAACGACCTCAAATAAAGTATTATTAGTAAATAAAACACTTTTTGTTAATATATCCTAACTTTAATTTGAACTATATCGAATATTTTATTATTTCTATACAAATGTAGTTATATAATTTAAATAACAATTGCACATATTTACTATAATTTAAAACTGGTAAAAAGTAAAGACTCATTCAAATGTAGGACAGACGTAGGTACCTACAACCGAAAAGTTACGCGCGGCGTAAGCTTAGTGGAGTCGGTCAGCCCGAAAATTTATGCACGGAACTCTAAAAATGACCGCTAGAGATAAAAAGTAATTTTAATCTCTACTCTCTCTCTCTCTTTTCTTCTTCTATCTATTTTGTACAATACTCTACGAGGCGGAAATTGCTCTCACGTACATTTACGTATTTTCTTGTTGAAGACGTTTGGAAGAGCAAGTCCGCCTAGGGAGCCACCATCCACTTTCTTATATATTATGCTTCGAGAACACGTCTCTACATTGTATACAATATTGGAAGTAAATTTTTGGAAATAAAAATATAACAAGTTTCTTACCAACATTCCGCTTCAATAAGGTAAATATTAAAAAATAGCTTGTTCATCTAAATACAAGTGTGTTCGTAATTATAAAATATATGTATATAAGAAGTAATCTCTAATCGATGTGAAAGTAATTTTTTGGTTTTGCTCTATCTAAAGTATACATATAGGAATCAATTGTGTTACTGTGATTACATATAAAGTAAACTCTCATAAATAATATAAAAATAAAAGCTAAGTGAGTTGAATTCAACCTTTTTTTATACTAAGCTTCTATTTAATATATTTTATCATATAAATACTTATAATGTTGCAGTACAGAACCCACGGTTCACAAGTGCAACTCGCACTTAGCCTATTATAATGATTATGGATACTCTATATCAAGTTACATATACTATATTCACTATTCAGGCCACGCTCATACTCAATGAAATAAAATATTTATCATAATAAAAAAACACCTGAAAGATAAATTGAAACTCTTAAAAAGGTATAAAAGTTAACAAGCTATTTTTTAGTTTTTAGCCACAGCTCTACTCGTAGTTTATATTATATAAAAAAAAGATTCCGACGAATTGAGATCCTCCTCCTTTTTGGAAGTCGGTTAAAATACAGCATTATTTATAATTAATTGTAAGATACAAATTTTTTATCTAATCGGACTGGTAAATAATTATTGAAAACAAATCAAAAATATATGTAAATACCTTAAAAATAAAAGTCCAATTTTTAAAATATAATGGGATAAAACTTAAATTTTGAATAGCACTTTGTATTTATTTACATAGTAAAATACCTACCTGTAAGAGGAATCTACTAGAAACTGTCAAATAAAGCACCGTCACTTTTGCCCACTCAGCTTTCATGATTCAATATCCGTTATTGTCAATCTAATAATTGCGACTTTGATGATTAAAAAAGATCATGTAGTGTAAGTTTTTTAACATTTTCTGTCAGTTGGTGTTCGAGTAATAAAACATTAGATTTTATTTTACATACGATTCATTATGAAAGCTAGAGCTTATTGATCTAAATGCTGATTCATTGTAAAATACTCAGTCATATTATGATTCATTGCAATAACTGTATAGTACAAAAATATTTAAAATGCTCGTTATTGAAATAATTTTGTTCAATATTAAATCTTATCTACAATGGATTGAGGCCAAATCGTTTTAAAAAAGCTTTCACAAATTTTTAAAGGCATTCAACAAAGTAGGTAATTTGATGGAGCTTTTTAAGTTAACTCATAGCATGAGTAACTTTAATAACATGCATTAGGTAAAATTCATTGCACAGTCATGCAAACTACGTACTGTATGAAGCATTACCCTGAAAAACATAATGGAACATCGTTTTTCTGAATGACTCCGTGGTAGCGACACGCGAAATTGAATTTACACAAGGTCCATATATGCATGTGACATTTCACAAGGGTAACCTCCGACCTTAACCAACACAACTCACCTCACAAAAACAACCAGCACTAAGACAGTCACACTACAAAGGAAGACACTACGGCAGCGTAATCACGTGTTCATTCACATGCATTATGCGGCTAAATTGACATATTGCGTTATCACACAAGTTAATAAAACGTGTTCGGGGGCATCTTTTTATTGATGAAAGTGCTCCCGAGACGTGGGAACGGTGGGAGCTCCGAGCCGAGCGGCAGGCGAGCGCGCTAGCCGGCGCGCCGCCTTACTGTGAATGATATACGCGCCCGAAACTCTTTTTTGCGCAGGCGCCGTGAGACGCAAGGATCGGCCAAAATTCACCCTACAGTCTGTCTGGAAAAGGGTCGCAAAGACCATTCCCTGTCAACTACGAAACAAGTTCAACTTCAAAGCAAATAGGGATGTTTTCGCTATAATTTAAACATGAGCGCTTGGACTTTCCGGTGCTAGGGATGCGCGTGCCGCACTGCACACGTTGGTAATTAAATATGTGTTTGACAATACAGGGAGGCTGTGCCGTGAAACTGATGACGTCAATGTGCCAAAGAGCGGGATGAACGCGCTATTAAGCAAATTTTTAAGCAGCAACGGGTTCAGGCCTTGCGAAGTTCCGTGAAATGAGGTTAGGTAACACTTTGTATCCCGCAACAAAATTAACTAATTTATTCTATATCGGTTGCTCTGTTTAAACTTGATGTTTATTCGGAATAATTTGAACATCTTATTGTATTATTTTCTCTGCAGTATCATAAATGCGGTTGCGTAACATTTGTTTTGGCTGCCATGCGTAGGTTATATAGGCCTATTGATTCAGTATAAGAAAACTTAAAGTTTGATCATGCTTCATATCGTATCTGTACGTAACAAAATATTCTAATAATTGTAAAATTATTTATATTAATTATCGAAGAAAAGTATCCGATATTTAAGTAGAAAAGCTTTACCAAAGACTCAATATAAAGCCTGAACTATTACATAGGATAGTATACGACCAGGACGATGTGACATTTAATCGTGATCTATTGCATCCTGATCAATTGAATTTATATCCTAGTGGTATAAAAGTCCGGATTTATTACTCGAAAAACTATTTTTTAATCATATTATACATTATTTATTATATATCTCTTTCATATAACTAGTGTTTTACCTTTCAGTAACTTTTTGTAATGTCTCAAGAAAACTATTTGATGTCTAAAATTTATACTTAAATTTGTAAATATATACTTAAAATTTCTAAAACATATAATTAAAATATATACTTTTTAATAACTAACTTTAACATCACTTTAAATAATTATTATTCCTCCTTTATAGCTGAAATTGAAGGCAGTGGTAGCCCAGTGGTAACGCGCTCGCTTGGGAAACCGAGTGATGCAGGTTCAAATCTCGGGTCTCGCATCTCTGATATTTTCATGTGCGAATCATTTCCAATATGATTACCACTTGTCTTAACGGTGAAGGAAAACATCGTGAAGAAACCTGCATGTCTGACAAAACCTAGAAAGTTTTCGAAAGACATGTGAAGTCCGCCGACCCACACTTGGCCAGCGTGGTGGAAAATGGCCTGATTCCCATCGTACTGAAGCAAGGCCCGTGCCCAGCAGTGGGACGTTAAAAAGGGCTGAATACATAGCTGAAATTGTTTTATTTATATGAGATTACTTGTAATAAAAGTGATTGATTAAAAAATATTTATGAAAATCGATTCACAATTAATAAACACGAAACCACATAATATATGTATGTACATACAAAAAAAATAAAGCTTAATTTGAAGTCGGTAAAATATCTACAATGTTGTATGACTCGCTCCGGCACAAAATATATTTGTACTTATATATGTATGTATATGAAAATAAAACTTTATTCTTTTTCGGTTTGTTTCTGCGTAAAAGAAGGACAAAGCAGCAAAAATATTTTAGTAATGCCATTCAAAAATATTAAGTTTACATTTTTTCAGTTAATATGTACCTAATTATGCCTTAAAGGATGCGGTTGTCTTCGCTCTATACGCTTATAGGCTATAGCACATAGAATTAAGAATTTAAAGGCACGTAATATAGAAATATATTGTTAGAAAACAGGTGTTTGATAAATATCAGGCTTAATATGTATAAAACATACTTACTACACTAGTAGAGACCTCGATAGACTAAGATATTTTAGACTGCATTGTTTGCATACGGTCAACGCTCCTGAACTTTGACGGGTCAACAGCCTGGAGGAAATAGAACTGATGAAAATATCTCTACTATGCAAATACGACGCTTTATCTATTTAGAAAGGTGTAAAAGTTGAATTTTATGTCAATACTGAATGAAAATGTTATGGATGATAATTTTGTTTATACTTATATTTTTTAGAATATTCTATTATTGATAATAGTTACGAGCTTTAACCTTCCATATCTGTATGTAGGTAGGAACTGTGAAATCATACGATGTGACAAAAACTTCACAAAATTTATAAGTTGCGTTACACACCAAATGTTTTTGATTCGTAATTGTAATTATTCGTTTTTAAGCCATTGCATAGCTTCTATCGCGGGCCTTGAGCGTGGGGACCGAATCCAGAAATTCCGTAACGAAAAAAACCTGACACCCCCCACTCCGACCGGCACAGCGGTGATACTTTTTAGTTTTTCCATCTATCGATAAATATCAGAACTTTTAATGACTTTTTGAAATATTACGCTTGTCTCTTTAGTTCAGCAACCCGCCTTTAGGTGGCATTGGTTGTATTGGAAAACTACCGTAATCAGCTGTTTGTGAGAAAGTATATAGGTGTATAGGTATTTATCATCTATGTACAACAGTGAATATCTGTACTCGTATAATTTGTGTACAAAGTGTTTTAAATATGAATAAACAAAGTGCATTTATTAATGAAGAAAGTCAAGGGAAAAAAATACTGCATTAATAAAATAAATAAATAATTATAATTGCATAAGTTGATAAAAAATGCTATGCAATAGCTTTACCGCGGCAGTCTCCGAGTGCCACATTTAATTTTCTTTATACACTAATCATCCTTTACGAGAATGTGTAAAACAATAAAAAGTTCACATTGCAACTTTTTGTGTATATCACAGAAACAAATCTATCCTACGGGAACCGTACATTTTTCCGGGATAAAAAGTAGCCTACTTGTTATTCTGATGTATGAACTATATTATTGTAAAGTTTCATTAAAAGCCAATCAGTAGTTTTTGTGTACTAAGCTGTATAAAATGTTATAGTTTTTTAACTATCCCACGGGAACTCTTTAATTTTCCGGGATGAAAAGTTGACAAAAAAGTTGACCGGGGGTAAACAACAAAAATCAGGATTTGTTCCAATTTTCTTCTTACATCCCTCTGACTCAGTTTTTAGAAATTTTTTCTCTGTGTACAGACATTCTTCCTCTACAGTATTATAAATATAGATATGCACATGCTTTTAAATAAACCTTTTAAGTTAGTTCTTTGATGAAATAAATTGTAAGTTCATATAAATTTGGCTATATTTATAGCCAAATTTATATAAACTTGCAATTAATAAAGAAATCATTTGATTTCTTTACTAATCTATTTCATTAATTCTAACTTCACTTAATACACCTTACAATTATAAGTATAGATTTAAATTTTAAACGAATGAAAAGCGGAAAATCGCCTGTATTATTACACACAATAGTTAACTAAGTTGTGTAACGGTTATCATTGTACTGTTTGTTCCCGTTTCGTTTGTTATTAGAACATATTAGTTTAGAACTTTGTTATACTCTGTATTCCAGCTATCAGAAACGTAGTGTCGTAGGAAATGCAATCTGTTTATAGTTTTATATAAGTTTAATGGTTACACAAATATTGTAATGCACTCTTCTATCTCCAAAGTTCCCATATACAGGTTTTTACCCGCGTTGCCTTTATTTACTATGAGTTTCTCTAATTCAAATTCCTATTAAAATTCTAGCGATTAGTGAGCATATTATAAATGTGTTCGTAGTCATATCTGTTGTATGCAAAGGTTTCTATAGGAAAACTATCTTCCATTTTAAATGACTTTAAGAAAGGTTCAAACAAGTTCGTTTGAACATTTACGAGTCTCCACTGCGATACAAATTGATATCTAATCAAACATTATATCCTACTAGCGACACCCTCGCTTCGCTTCGGGTTCGTCCCAAGACAAAAACAAATCTATCCCACGGGAACCTTACATTTTTCCGGGAAAAAATATAACAAAAAGATATGTTATGTGCTATAATCTATCTCTGTGCCAAATTTCATCCAGATCCGTTCAGCCGTTCAGGCGTGATTGAATAACAAACATCCACCCATCGCTACAAACATTCACATTTATAATATTAGTATATTAGTATGGATACGGATAATAAAAAGGCTAATAAAAGAATTAAGGCTGTCTGCGATTATAAAATTATTCTATAGTTCTAAATTAGGGTTCTATGATATTATTTAACTATACCAAAGTATAGTTGTTAGTCATGTCGAATTGTCGTCCCACCGGATTTTTAGAGTGAAGGGAATAGAGAATTTACTTATGTAAATATGTTAGTACTTAGATTTTTTGCACTATTATGTCTCCTGTGCAGATGGCTAGTCTCAATAACATTGGCCCTTGTGGCTTAAATTGGTCAGGAGAACATAGTTTCCAAACAGCCATCAACGTTAATAGAAGGTGGTAGGTAGGTATGTCAGAAACTTTCACAGGTTTTACTGATTTTACCAAAATTACATGGTAATCGGATAAAGGGCTTATACACATATAAAAGATTTTTTATATAATCCATACTAATATTATACAAGTGAAAGTGTTTGTTTGTTTGTTTGTTTGTTTGTTTGTTTGTTTGTAATTTTTTCACGTCTAAACGGAATGACGTATTGGCGTGATTTTTTGTGTGAAGATAATTGGAAGACTGGAGAGTGACATAGGCTACTTTTTACAGAATTTTACAGAATAAAATAAAAATATTACAGAATTACTTGAAACTTGCTCTGAAGAGCTTGCTCTGAAATACAATTAAATAAATACGTGTATTAGCATTTTTCGAAATTCATCCCATAAAGGGATAAAATAGTACACGAAAGTTTGTATGAAACTTCTTTTTAGTTTTTTTGTAGTTTTAGCGCGACTAAAGCCGCGGGTTCTGCTAGTATTATATAAGTAAAAATTTAAAATAACAGATCATACAATACTATACTAAATAAAATGAACCTAGCCATAACTTATTAACACAGATATGCATCTAGAGCGTCGTCTCAGTGATTAGGTATAATTTTGTCCAATTTACCTAAAGTTATTAATAAAGTATTATTAACTTTAAATGTCAATTCTATTATTAAACACACATTT